GATGGTACTGGTTCTTCAGCAGCCTGACCATCTGGTACCGTCGCATGATGGTACTGGTTCTGCCACATGTTTAAACCGTTGGCTGGTGTTTGGCCTTTCAATTCAATTCAATTCAATTCAGTTTTATTTGTGTAGCGCTTATTTACAACATCAGTCATCTCATAGCGCTTCACAAAGGCAGAACCAGAACCACCCAACAGTCCAAACATTTGGATTCCCCTTTATGTTCTGTTACAGAGGAAACGGATCTACAGGCCACAGCGGTGCGGTTCTGTCTCATCCAGTTCACTTCCTGCTGCAGCTGCTTCTATCGGATCAAGCTATCAGAACATGCAAATACCCAGAACCGGTCCTGCAACCAAAAATATGAATCCAAAAGGTCAGCAGGTAGTAGTTTATTCAGGAGGACCGCCCATGGTTCTGGTGTTGGTTCTGAGTGTATGTCAGATGTTCTCGTTCGGACCAAACATGTTCAACACAGAACCGGTCTCATCACCTCAAGTCCTTCTGGTGACTCACGGCTGAACTGGTTCTTTCAGGAAGTTTCAGGTCAAACACCTGGACGGTTCTGATACAGGACACAGAACCGGTACCGCCCCAGACATGGAGCTGTTGGTTTGATCTGATCTACACAGAATGAAGCGGCTCCTGCAGGTGAGTCCGGCAGCTGCTTCTCGGGACCGCACAGTCCGGATCAGCAGCGGTGTAATCCGGTAAATCCGCGGTGGGTTCGGTCCCGCGTGTCCCCGCCCCGTGCTGGGAAGCACCGCCCCGCCGACAGCAGGGATGAATGGAGCGCTCCCTCCGCCCCGCACCAAGCCCAGAACCTCCGAGACTCCCAGCGCGCTGCAGCCGGACACAGCAGGCGCTGAAGCCGAACCAAAGCCGAACCTCAGGCTGCGCAACAGGCTGCTTTCACACGCTCCGTCCGGTCTGGTTCTGTTGGAAAAGTGAAGAAGAAAGGAACAGAGGAGAACATGTCCAAACCCAACTACAGCGGAACCTTCCACATGGTGGAGCAGGAGAACATGGACGCGTACCTGGAGGCTTTAGGTAAACACACACACACGCACACACACACACACACACACACACACACACACACACACACACACAGCTGCTGCTGTACATGCGCACTTCGGCCTTCCTCTGTTCTCTGAAAGTGGCTTCCAGCTGCGATGTTTCGTGAGGCTCCGTCTGCAGCTGCGCAGTAGAGAAAACACCAGCATGTCCTCTGAGTGACCCGCAGAGTGTCAGGTCCGAGTGATGTTCGGTACCACCGGGTTCCTCTCCGATCCGATGCTGAGTAAAATGCAGGCTGGGATCGGCGATACCGATCCTAAACCCCGAACCTGTGGTACATCTAAAAACAGTCGTGAACTTCAAATCACAGTTTCCTAATTACACAGACATCAGAGTAACGTGTGTATTTCTTTATTGTGAGGCAGCCCTAAGCCTCCTTAACCATACAGCCGAGCTGATACAGCACCAGAAACCCAAACACAGGACATCTATAGTCAATGACAGAATAATTACACAAGTTTGTCAGTACCTACATTTGAATATATTCACTTATCAGTTCAAGCAAATGAGACTGATTGTAAATAATAGTAGGTGTGTTTTATAGATCAAACGTTGTGTTTGTTGTCCATCCAGCTCTGTCCGTGTAACGACTCCTCGTCTCTGTAATCCACTCCATCAGCTCTTGTTGCCGATGTGAGCTTATCTCAGTGGGACATATGTTGTTACTCCAAGCTGAAGTCATGCAGCTATTTGTTGAAGCATGTATTTATTTCATAACCATATTTATTGATGAACAGCAACAGCAACAGGCTCAACGCCACTTAGAGCTCCACACGTCCTCCCGCTCTACCTGCTGCCTGCAGCGGAAGGAAAAGTAGTTCCCACTGACCGCGTGTCATTCACATCTCAGTGTGGTTCGTTTCCGCTGTGCTACGAGTGATGACATACGTCACCTCAAATGACTGAAGTATCAATGTTTTGATTTGAGAATCGATTTTAGAGCATGAAGATCTGGTATCAGAAGAATCCAGATTTCAGTATCGATCCGCACATCACTGCCGCTTGAAGCTTCTGTCCCAGTGTCATGGTTTTCTCGGCTCTCTGTCAGATATCAACTTCGCTCTGAGGAAGATCGTGTGTTTGCTGAAACCCACCAAAGACATCACTCATGATCCAGCAAGCGGAACCATGAAGATCCGAACGCTCACCACCTTCAAGAACTTCAACATGGACTTCACCATCGGACAGGAGTTCACTGAGGACCTGGGACCGGTGGATGGACGCACCTGTCAGGTGACTGTTTCTGCCGCGGCTCATTCAGGGTTTTTTTTAAATAGAATCCGTCTAAACTCTGTGGTTTCAGCTCCTTCAGTCTGAAGGTTCTCTGGGTTCTGTCCTCTGTGACACTAAACTGAACATCTCTGGACTGAACCAGACGTTGGAGGAAACTCTGATCCACGTTTTGATTCTGATTGATTCATGCAGTAAACGATCCTTGCTGTGTGCACTAACGTGCTCAGACTTGCTCTCAGGCTGAAACCTTCTCTGAACGTGTTTTATCTTCAGCTGTTTTACTCGTTTGCTGTGTGCTGAGTGTGTGTCTGCTGCCTGCTGTGTGAATCCCACAAACATGAACCACAATCAGCAGCCAGAGGCAGAACAGAGCGTCGTGTGATTGAGTTTGTGAGCTGCTGAACATGGAAGCTAACAGAGTCTCTGTGCTGCTGCAGACCACGGTGAGCTGGGACGGAGACCGGCTGGTTTGTGTTCAGCGAGGAGAGAAGGAAGGCCGAGGCTGGACGCACTGGCTGGACGGAGACAAGCTGCATCTGGTGAGGATCTGTGGCGACCAAGGGAGGAACCAGGAAGAGGAGCGATGCTGAACTCGATACGCTGGCGGAGGGAGGAGGGAATGTACTCATTGTGTGTGTGGGAGGAGAGTTTGATAAAAGGGCTGTAGTCTGGGGCCTCAGAGAGCCAACAAAGGAGGAAAGAAAGAGTCTTGAATGCACATTTAAAGCGCTGCAGAAACTCAGCAGCAGCAGCAGCAGCGTTGTGGCTGTAAAACAGCCGCAGCTTATAGATTATCTGTCAGTGCCGATTAAGATTTCTAAGCAGCAGCATTGTTTGGTGAAAAGCTCTCCGGGGATTTCTCACTAAACAAGGCACTGTTGATGCTAAACTGAGTTGGGAAAGAAATGCCAGCCAGGATCAGCTTAGAAGGGAGGATTCAGGCAAACGCAGCGTGACTGATGGATCAGCAGGTCAGGGTTCGGGTTCGGGGGAGGGACAGATCCATTCAGCTCTGATGGAGCTCAGCGCCTCACTGTTCTTCTGTTCTGTTTCTCTGCAGGAGATGAGAGTTCAAGGCATCGTAGCCAAGCAAGTGTTCAAGAAGGCGGATTGAAGTCACTGCAGACGTCTTAGTGAATAATAATGTTAGAAAGTAGCTGGTACCAGAGTCTGATGCTGCCTAATCATTAACACAGCTGACCGTCCTGCCGTCTCTGTGACACCAGCAGAGCAAACATTCCCTCTGACTTCCTCTTGGTGGTCATAAACCCACCAGACGTCTGGACCACGTGGTGCTTTACTCCTGTGGGGCTAAACCAGAGGAACTCCACTGAACTAATCTGAACCATGATGTGCTTTCATTGCTTCTCCTCCTTTCTGTCTGGAGACTCTGATTTACAGGCTTCAGGCTCCTGAACACCATCCAACCTGCAAAACTACATTTATTTACAACTTTTCTCTGCTGCTGTTTGGTGGAATAAATGTTTAAACTCTGTGGCACCTCGGTGCTTCGTTAGAGCGGTACTTTGTCTCACGTTTCATTAAACACATTTGGATGTTTTCATTATATTTGCTGTGTGTTTGTGTTTCTGCTGCTGCATGTAAAACTCTCATAGTTTGATAAATATTGAAATGAAGTGCTCAAAACGTCCACCATTGTGTGCTTTATTTTTGTTTTTGACCTGAAGCTGGAACTTTCTTTTAAAGTCAGTCCAGACTTCAAATTCACTTTATTCACATTTGTTCTAATTAAACTGAAACTAAAACATTAAACTGAATGTAAACCGTGTCTTTGCAGTTAAACAAACAAATATGACCTGAAACAAGTCCTGAGAGGAGATAAAGTGAAACCCACAAAACTGACAATTACTGTAAAGGTTGAGAACCGTCAGAGTTCTGATTCTGCTCATCAGTCCGACTACCGACAGGGAACAGTTCTAATGTTTCCCTCTACAGGATCCACATAAAGAGCAAGGTGTCAAACTGGAGACAGAAACGTCTGCAAACCTCTGAAACACTGATGTCAACGTTCACGAGTCCATGTTCAGGAGAATGTAGAACCTGCTGTGCTGCAGGAAGAACTGCTGACTGCAGGTTGCTGAAGATCACCTGGAGGAGTCAGAAGTTCTGCACACTGATGAGATGGGAAAACTAGATGAGACAGATATTCTGTGCTGCACATTTGTGGCTATCCAACGTTGTTGCCGGCGGCTTGGAGGAACACGACTCGTTCATTGAGCAGAACAGTTCTGTGGGTCTCCATGCAGGAGCTGCTGAGGACGGCTGGCTTATTGGTGAGTGTCACAGAGTGGAGATGTTTCAGCTGGACTTAGTCTGGTTATTAACCACTTACCATTCTGGGTCATTTCCGTGCAGCCGCCTGAAAAATGACATCTCCAAATGAAAATGAATGCTGTTACTGACCCTTATGGAGTATATAGAAACTTTGACCTCTGTTGTAAAGATAACACTCTCTAGTTTTAGCCACAGCAATCAGAATCATTCCAGGTGCTACCAGTAAAAAGTTATTCTATTTCAATCATCACAGAAAAAAATGTTTTTTTGATCCTCGCCTAAGTTTTTTCTTGAAAATAAAGGAGCAAAAAGCAGCATTAGGAGGAACTAAAACACTGTGTGCCAATAGAAACACTTGTATTGCTCTCATATTTCAACACTGAAAACAATCTGTGTAAAGCTGATAATCTGACACCAGTGTTTATTCTGGTATGTTCATGCGTTTTATTGAGGGACGTTTGTTTTATCCACATCTATCCAAACTGGACACCACTGAACATGTAAAGGAAAAGTGCAAAATCTGTTGAATGCTTGAA